CATACATACATACATACATACATATTCTGCAATAATCTATGAATACGGTATACATATTTTTTTATTCGTTACAAATAGGTATGTGTGTGTATGCGCGCGCGTATGTGTATATATACATATATATTTATTGCTTTCAAACGGAAGCTGTACATAAAAGCCATGTTATCTATCAGAAAAGTACCAAATAAAGGATTAAATATTAGCTATTACGATAAAGGATAGTTTCGGGCCCGAATTCGTTTTTTTCTTTCTTTTTTATTTCCTTCTTTATGTATTTCGTTATGTTGATGCGACAAAGGAAGACGGCCTAGAATCTAAGAATCGATATATATATATGTGTATCGTGTTTGTGGTGAAGAATTGAAGGTCTGATGGAATGATGATAATTGTTTAAAAGTGTTGTTAACAAAGACCTACGAGCAGTTATTTATTATTTTAGTTCGGTCTTTTCGTCTTAAAACTTGACTATACGTTGTCAGAGACGTATATATAATTCACAAAAAGTATCATTCTGATATAGTTTTTTCTAATTATTTATTTATTTTCTGCTTTTACTAAGCTCGTACGTTTCTATTCTTGCACATTCATACTATCCAACTCATTGAAGCGTTAAAATTCAATCCTTTACATTTTACATATACAAGATACTATATACATGTTCCCTTTTGAAACAAAGATATGTATATTTACCAACAACGTTAAAAAAGAAAAAGAAAGAACAAATATTAGCGTTGCAAAATTGACTTTCTTAATAATAAATTCTACACGAGTATTGTTTCTTCGATTAAATTTCTTTAAAAATTCGTTTCAAATTTCGTTCCATTTAGATTCTCATCCAAACGGATCGATTTTCTTCGTTTGGGTACATTAATAAAATTATATACATACGATTTAAAGCATGAAAATTTTTGTACGCTATATCTAAATTTTAATTAGACCCTTAGAAGCTATCAACGTGTAAATAGACATCACGTTCCATTCTAATTTCATAGAATTAAAAGTCGTTTATTTTTTTATATTATTCTTTTCGAAAAAGAATAATCGTGTAAATATATACGATTATAAGAGGTTAAATGATTAAAGTCCTAATTTTTACTAATGATTTGGTTCGAAGAAAAAGTATCAAACATTGTTATTTGATATTTATGCAAATTATTCTATAATTCCCGCAAGAATGAAGTTAGCTGTAAAGTTATCAAACGTGTGTATTTAACAGAAATATAAGAGACTTTTTTTCTTTATATTTTGTAATCCAGTTTTCTTCGTGTACCGAATACCATATGTTCACTTTTAATGCATGATTTCTCGTATCATTCGAATCAGGGTACAATGATGAAAGCGTTTCATTGGCGCTACAAAATGTATATAAGTTCAGTCCAGTCCATTAAGTCCTACTAAATCGTAATAAATATTCATTAGGAATATTAATAAAAGTTATGTACATAGGCAAATAAAATAGCGTTTATGATAAATTCTTGCTGAATTTTGTATA